CCCAAATGATATTAGGGTTACTGGTTCAGTCACTTCACTAGTATTGTCAATTCGTCATGTGTCAAATCGGTAATAACTCAGCGGCCGGACTATAATTGTTTTGTATATATTTAAAAATGTAGCATTGTGTGAGTGAGACAGGCAGTCCATTTTTTTTATAGGAATAGGGTGACAAACGAGCACACAGTCCATCTGATGGTAAGTGGTTGCTGTGACCCATAGACATCTACATTTATCCCCGTTAGTAAATTAAAACGCCGATGCGTTGTCACCCGTAAGGACTAAGTTAGAATGCCTCTTTTCCAGTAAAAAGGGTTTCCGGTTCTCTACACTCACCATACGAAACACAGCAGTGTTAAACTGCTATTTTACGCTGGTATTCTGTGAGAGCGTGGTCCTTCCCGATCGGTCGAGCCGATCCATTCATGCTACAACTATACTACTAATATAGCTGCAGCATGGCTCTACCACGTTTGATGTTGAGATGTTAATGTTGATGTTGACGTGAGATGTTGAGATACATCCTTAAAAGGCGCTTTTTTGTGTTTTGGCTACAATGGTTACTATTCTCTCAATAGCAAATAATTAACTGTTGTTAATTATTTTTATTATTATTTGTTAATTTGTTGTTTATTATTATACAGTTTAATAAAATCATAATTTGTCACAAGCTAATCCGTCATAAGCTCTTAAGTCAAGAAAGCGTGTTGCCATATATTTATATTCTGAAAGTATCACATAGTTTTTATTATTTGCCATTGACAGAATTCTAATCAGTGTAGTCAAAACACACACTGCTTTTTAACTTGTAGGCATTTACAATGCCGTCTATGAAATTTTTTTAGGACGTGTCCTTCAAAGTTCCTCATTGCATAAGTAACAATATGAATGAATTATGATGCCGAAAAAAATAGTTTTTCAGTATATATTTCTTAAGGAAATATACCGAAAACCTATTTTTTTGACCTTTCTAAGCTGAGCTGAGAATCTGCTGATTGACTCAGCACAGAGGCAAAGTAAAAAAATTAATTTTTCAGTATATGTTTCTTAGTGAAACATGTTGTTTCAGCAACATTTTCATCTTGTTGCTGTTGTGCGTAGATAATATAATTGCACGGCAGAAGTACTCTGCTGCTGCCGTTTGTGTACATAATTTAATTACAAAAAATAAAGTAATAATTAATTTCGTACTCCATTACTCTTTCAGACAATACCCGAAAATAAGAAAGTGCATGTGCTGAGTTCTATAACAATCTCTCAAGAAATGCCTCCAACACCTGGAACATCATCAGAGCCACCATCTAAGAAGATAAAATTGCAATAAAGTGCAGAAACACAGACATCTCTAACATTCAACACGCCCAGAAAAAAGAAACTACGCAGGGAAATCAAAATCTTATCTCAAAAGTTAAAAAGACGTAATGAAACAATCAATAGTCTTAAATCATTGCTGACTATGATTAAACAAAAATGTGATAATTATGACGAGGTACGAAATATGGTCCAACTGAATTTTGAAAATATTCACACACACTTGAACAAAAATTTGTCAAACCTAGGTGTAAGATATAATGACGACGTTAAATCGTTCGCGTTGTCATTGTATTATTATTCCGGCAAAGCGTATACGTTTTTAAGAAACCATAATTTGCTCCTTCATCCTGCAACATTGCGTCGCATTTTATCCACCTACGACTGTAATGTCGGTTTCATGGCAGAAGTTTTTAATTTTTTGAAGAAAAAAAGGTTTCCGGAAATCCTAACTTATTAATTTAACACATAAAATCTCAACTCGTATATGATGACCCAACTAAAGATAAATTTTGGGGACGTATCGATTTTGGAGACGTTGTACCTGAAGATCCTGAAAAAATGGCAACTGAAGCTTCAGTGTTTCAGATTGTATCACTAAAGGATAAATTAAAATGGCCAATCGCATACTTTTTTGTGGACAAAATATCAGCGTCCGTCCAAGCAAAACTTGTAGAAACAGCTTATTAGAACTGAAGAACAGTTAAGCTGGGTAGAAACGTATTTGCTGAAATGTCATTGTCTTCAGAAAATGGAAACATAAATTTTCAGTTTGTTAAACGATTACATAGCTTAGAAGAAAAAGAAGGTCTTAAATTAGCTAACAAACATATAAAACGCACGTGAATTTTTACGAAAAAAAAATGAATGTACGATTAGCTGTACAAGTTCTGAGTAGCTCGGTTGCAAATGCCATTGAATTTTTGAAATGCAGCAAACATCCAGATTTTATTGACAGTGAAGCAACTATCGAATATTTAAGAGTGCTGGACAGAATTTTTGATTTATTCAATACTAAAAATCCTTTCGGAACCGGATTTAAGTCGCCTATGCGCAGAGAAAATAAGGAACACTGGCTGAATGTGCTACACGACACAAGACATTATCTATCAAGATTAAAAGTAAATGGACAAAATATCTTGTCTCACAGGCAAAAAACACCTGCTTTAGGTCTGATAGTTGACACGCTAAGTTTTGCCGGTATAGCAGAAGATATCCTAGAAAAGAAAAAACGCATACTTCTTAACACACAAGTGCTCTCAGGATCACCTCGAGATGTTATTCTCATGTATCCGAGCGAGAGGTGGTTTTAATGACAATCCGCACGCTCTTCAGTTCAGGTATACGATGCAGAAACTACTGTTCCGGAATAGTATCAAGCCCAGCATCAAATCCAATTGTACAGATTTAAATTACGAAACAACACCTATTCTCGAGTTCAGAAGTACAGAACGTTATTTACAAACCCTTTTTCCCGACAGTTCACAAAGCAGTAACGCAGATGAAGACAGACACATAGACGAACTTATGGATCAAGCAAATAAAAATACTGTATCTAATTTTAAAAACAATATCCTCTTTTATATATCTGGCTATATTGTCAATAAAATACTGGACAAATAACTTGTCACCATTGCCGAGCTGCATTGTTGGTAAAAAAACGGCATGAAGACCATTCATACATTTTGGATATCTGTGAATTTTCGTTATTTACTGCTTTTGTTGACAAAGGAGGCCTAAAATACGCCTCAAAATTTGTATTCGATGTAGTGAGGCACGCTCTGAAATACTTTTTAACTCTGTGTCGCATGAAATTTGGCAAGATCAGTTAAAAAATAAGTTAATTCTCAGCACAATTCGTCATTTCTATCTGAAATTAAATGATATATTTATTCCACCTCATCCGGTTCTTTCTATAAAATGTGAAAATAGGCATGAGACAGAAATTATTAAATGTATAGCGACAAAGTTTTTTAATTTAAGACTAAGGGCTTATGGAAAAAGCGAAACGTTAAAATTGATTGGACACAAAGCCACCATGCGTCAAAAGCTACACAAGACAATTTTGTTTAGCAATGTATAAGTATTGCTTATCGGAATTACACATACTACAGAATTAATATAGTTATGGTAATAAACTGACTTTACTATCTACAGTCTTTTATTTTTCTCTCTTAATACAGAGTGAGTAGGTAATACAAGTTTTTATATATTAAGCTATTAATAAGATATAACGATGTAGATTATACATATTTCTTGATAAATGACATATGTATTGTTGTAATCGTTGGTTATTGTTCCCAAAAAAATAAATATAGCAGAATCCCTTAGCATCACTTTTTTTCCTTGAAGCAACAAATCGTGTAGTCTCCCTAATAGAGTAGGACGCATCCCTAAAAAGCGCTATCTCGCTCAGCTCGTTTGTCAGTCGTGAGTGTGCAATCTTGTTACTATAAAATATCTTTGGCTTATATTCTTTTAAGGTTGGCGCCATTTACCATACTAATTTCGGCCGCTCGAAAACATTCGACATGAAATCAGCATATTTCAAACCGAGCTTACTGCAGCGTGTGGTGCGTAACACGAGGCTCCGTTTGGAACAAAGTGTGCGGCTCGACGGCAGACATTTGAATAACATTATTTTTTTAAAAATCCGCATCTTTACTCTGTCTTTCAGTACTTTTATTAAAACACATGTCAAGTAGGTAGTTACGTTTTTATTTCATTTTGAAAATATAAATCTGCGACCAGACCACCTGTAATATTCTATCTTTCTTTTATTTATTTCTGATATTCTTTGTTGGTCTGAGACCACATACAGGATTACAAAGTCAATAAAAGTGAAACTAATTGAGGATAATTTAAAATTAAAAAATTTCTACAGCCGACTTCAATATAAAAATTATTGAGAATAACTCAAAAACTATTGGTCTGACCTTGATCAAATTCAATTGGGACCACATGTGAAGTACCAGCTTTCAAATAAAAAAAGAATCATCGAAATTGGTTCACCCAGAAAAAGTTATGATGTAACACACAAAAAAAAACATACAGTCGAATTGAGTACCGTCTCCTTTTTGAAGTCAGCAGAAAAGCGCCTAAAAACGCGCATGCAGAAAAGGTGAATATCAAACACCTCGTTTTCGTGCGCGCGCTCTCTTTATATATCTCTCTCTCTCTTTTCCTTATTTGTAGACAGGTTATAAGCGTTAAAAATCAACGAATTTATATTGTAATTTTGTTAAACTTACAATAAACCTAAAATAATTGTTCTTTTATATATTGAAGAGCCATGCTTTCATTATGGCTACATCACTAATGTGTCGGCTCCACGGGGGAGAATCACCTCACAAGGAGTACCAGCGTAAAATAGCAGATCAATGCTGCTGTTTCGTATGGCGAGTGTAAAGAATCGTAGACCTCTTTTATTGGTTACGAGGCATCTTAGTCATCTAGAGTGACAACGCATGCACATTTTAATTATCAATTGAGGGCAGATGTAGGTGTCTCAGTGTCTTACCATCATTTACCATTAGATGGACTGTGTGTTCGGTTGTTACACACACACACACACATACACGTGCGGTGGCAAAAATTATTTGTTAAACTCACGGTAGTGGACTGCTAACTAGCGAGATGCACATCGGATGGAATTTGGAGCACTGAATTCATGAAGTAACACAACATACCTTGACATAAGTGTAGTGGGCATCGTCCAGCAATTTATCCAGATCTAGAGCCTGTTGTAAGTAGAGCTCGGGATTGCGTCGCAGTATGGTAGCCAGGACACAGAGTAGTTCCACGCAGAGCTGACGCCGCGGCGCAGACTCTATACGAACTAATGCTTCTTCCACAAGGAGTGCAAACGACAGTTCTGACCGCGACATGTTAACTAGTGTTGGTTGTGCGGGAATAGCGTGGCCCTGTGTAAATAATGATGAAATGAATTTATAATCGTTTTATTTTGTTGATACAATAAAAATAAATGTGCATAACATGAGTTCACGAGTTTGTTAATATGTGAATAGATGTTAGACCTAAAAAGTATACTAAATATTACATTAATTCAATTAATTGCATTATAAATGGTCTTACTTGAACAATAATTCCTTTAGGAGTTCTTAAAAGAATATCCCAGACTTGTATGTAAAAATGTTTTGGCACACGACACAGACAACCTTCCAACTGACGACGTTGCAAAGGTGTTAATCTGAAAAAATAACATTATGCACTATAAAACTAAATTCAACTTTATCATATACCTATATATAAAAAGTTTATTGAACTTCAATGAACACTAGTATTGGCCGTGTAGTGGTGGTATAGCAATATATCATCCCGTTAGTTATGGGTGTCGTAAAAGGCGACAGAGAGGTATGCCTGGAGATGGGCAGCGCCTGAATTTTTAACTTGGCAATTTTTAATAGTCAAATAAACTACATTTAACGTAATGATGTTTAATCAAGCGGGTAAAAAAGTCACGTTTTCTTTTAACGTTTATTTAACCTACTTATGTAAAATATATATTAAAGAATAATAATCTCGTAAAGAAGTTTTACTTCGTATGTGTGTACAGAATTTTTTTTTTACAGAATGGGGCACAAACGATCACCACACAGTCCACCTGATAATAATTGGATCATGTGGCCTATAGAAATTTACATTTATCTTCGATTAAGAATCAAAACGCAGATGCGTTGTCACCCATGAGGAATACGATGGAATGCCTCGTTTCCAACAAAAAAGGTTTCGGGTTCTCTACACTCCCTATACCAAACATAGCAGCATTAGCTGCTATTTTACGGCTAGTATTCTGTGCTACAAGAAATGACTCGCTGACACTGACCCACGCTCGTCGGCCCAGTCGGACACGGTGAGCACTTGCTGCAGCAGTATTCGCAGCCGGTACGGCGACAGGCTCTCCAACGTAGCGTCGGCGCGCTTCTCGTTCGGAAACAACTCCAAATACGTGCGGATGGCCTCCAGCACCCAGCCCACACGTATCTTCAGTATACCACGAAACATATCTGGATTTGTGCCGATTAGCCTACCGCAGTAAAGAACTATCTCCTGTAAAAATAATAATTATGAAAGTAACAGATATATGTATAATCATTAGATTCGGTAAGATTCCTGATAATGATAAAAATAACCAACCAAATCAACAATGACTAAGTGCGTATTGGAATTATGGAACACATGTAGGGTTTTTTTTTATAGTATAGAGTGACAAACTAGCACACAGTCCACCTGATGGTAAGTGGCCTCTGTGGCCCATAAACATCTACATTTATCCTCGTTTGCGAATGAAAATGCAGATGAGTTGTCTCCCGTGAGGACTAAGATGGAATGCCTCTTTTCCAGTAAAAAGGGTCTCCGGTTCTCTACACTCACCATACGAATATATGAATACGAAACACAGCAGTGTTAAACTGCTATTTGACGCTGGTATTCTGTGAGAGCGTGGTCCTTCCCCGGTCGAGCCGACCCTTTCGTGCTACAACTATACTACTAATATAGCTGCAGCATGGCTCTACCACGTATAAAATGTACGAGATGTCGGATTCCGCTGTGCAGATTATATCTCATATTTTTATGTGATTCTGGTACCAAAAAAGATACAGCCTGTTTCTACCACCATGGGACTATATTTTAAGACTCACATACTTATAACTCACATAATATATACAGTGGTAAATGTAAAATGACTTTTAATAAGTATCGTGTAATAATCTATATTGAATAAAAATTATTCTACTCTATTCTTGAGATAATGTTGCGAAAATAAGAGAGAATCCTGAATTTCCCCATGTGCTTCCATTTAGCGACGAGTCCTCTAGAAGAAAAAATGGGTAGATACATCCTAGTACTAATTTAAAATCAATCTTTGGTCCGGGAGAAGTTATTGGCTCATTTGAAACATTGACAACTTGTTCCTATGCTAATTTCCGTACATTAGGTAAAATAACTATCAGTGATTTTAAAAAGCATGCGTATTTTATTTCTAGATATTCGAGTGTGACGTACGTAGTAGGTAGTAAATAGTTTATATAGTTTATGAAACCGAAAATAAATAAAGCTGAAGTAGATATAATATATATGGATAATACATTCTTCCTCAATCTTTATTGTTCTGTTTGGGCCTATTTACTTTTTTAATCATAGAAATTGCAATTGTATTATGTTACCTGTTGCAGCACAGCTCCAATGACATCATAGGGTTGAATAGTGGAATACATCACAGACTGGATTTCACCAGGTGTCATGGGCTTGTCGAATACGGTTTCTTTTCGACCGATCACACCAACCGTTAGCTGAAACATTAGCTTGTTTTTATATTTATAGTTAATTTATTCCTAACATTAACTCGGTCATTATCTAAGTTTTGAAGATTAACAGATTACAATGTTTTCAATGTTTTGAATAATAGCAGAATATTGACGGAAGATATTACATTTACAAAATAATTGTTAGAATTTACACGTCAAATCTGTATAGATATATATCAGTATAGATATAATCTGTATAGGTATAGATAGTTTTGGGTACTTTATTGTGACATTACAATACATTAACATTTATATAAATAAGCCTATTCTAAGTAAATTAAAAAACAAAATTATAAAAGTTTACAGGTTACCTGTTTCCCATTCACGAGTACAGTTGTGATGAAGGGACTGATCGAGTCAACTGTATGGTTCAGTAGTGAGGAGCAGTACCGCACTGCGCGCCAGTGTCGGAGCACTCCAGCACTGTGGTACAGGCTCTTTAGGGACTCTAGAGCCGTTTTACCATTCACCTGCAATTATTTCCTTCATTTATTTATTTTAATTTTAAAAATAGCTGTTAGCGACATATGAACATTTATTACACAAAATACAAGATATTTCGTAAAGTCGTAAAGGTTAAACTTAGAAAAATACTTGACGCTCTTACTTGACGTAGTTTTACTCTCAATCTGATTTCATCTATCGAGATGTGATTTGTGCAGTGGGGTTAATCAAGATGATATTCTATGATATGACAATGAATAAAATCAAGGCATAATTCACTTCACATGAACTAACGTTGAGATATGTCATTCCCATTCAGTTTTGAAGTTTTCTATAGTGATAACGATCGTACAAATTCGATCTTGGCTAACCCCGCTGAACAAGAGAACCGGAGACCTTTTTTACTGGAAACGAGGCATTTAATCTTAGTCTTCACGGGTGACAACGCATCTGCATTTTGATTCGCATTCGATGGTAGATGTAGATGTCTATGAGCCACAGCAACCACTTACCATCAGGTGGACTGTGTGTTCGATTGTCACCCTTATCTCTTATCTATACCATCTTATCTACACCCTTATCTATATAAAAAAAAACATTTTTTAAGTTTTCGTTTGTCTGTCTGCCCGAGCTATTCTTCGGAACAGCTGAACGGATTATAATAAAATTTCACGAACAAATACAGTAATACCAGGTATGATCTAGACTAAATTTTATCCGAATTTAGAGACTTTATTAAAATAGAAATATTGATAAGAAAAAATATATGGTCTTCAATGATTATCTTAAGTTTAAATAACGCCACATTAAGAGATCCCACCGAAATGGAGCCAAAGCGGGTCGCTAATTATAAATGTTGTTTTAAAATAATTGCACCTATACAATTAATTTCAAATATTTTCCCATTTAATAGAAAATTTCCAATTCGATCGAATAATATAACGTTACAACGATATACCGAACCAAATTTCAAATCCGATCGGAATCATGAGTACATCAAGTATTATAATCGAGGCCGCACAGAATTGTACTTGGTATCAATTACACACATTTATAGTGCAGTCAAATAAGGTCTGAAATCAAAATTTCGACACTTAATTTTGCATTTTTGATATAATGTAGTTTTAATGATACAAAACCTGAGTGTCTGCAACACCTTTTTTACCTTCTGCAACAACCTTTTTTACATATATTTTACTTTTGGTTATCATTGAATAAAATTTTTTACTATTTCTTTTATGCCAATTATATTTTTAGCAAGCACATTCTAAAAGCGGAAAGTTTTGCGAGTCTACTTTTGAAGTTCCCGTAATGAGGGCATCCATGACTTATTCTGCCACCAGGGCGGCGCCACCAGAAAGTGAGGTATAATATTTGACAGATTTCATAGTGGGAAAGTTAATTTGTTCGGAAAATGTAAAAGTTATTGTTTCTTTTTGTACTATTAGCTATATTTTAATTAATAACATTAAAAAATAAAAAACCAAACCACAAATATTCATAAAAGTAGAAAAATTAAATAAAAGTTAAAAATGTGCACAAAATTAAAGAGCAACCCACTGACGCATTGTTTTGTGTATTAATATAATACTCTAGAAACTGATAAACTTTAATTAAAAAAACAACTTCTCAATTAAATTACATTGTGTAACAAAAAACTTTACCTCAGTGTCAACTGGTGAGCAGAAAATTATTAGCCCTCATTGGTAAGCTTTACTTACTTATCTTCACGCACAATCCCTGACGGGGTAGCCAGAGAGAACAGATCGCCAAGTGTCACGATCCTTACATATCTCTTTCGCTTCTTTCAGATTCATTATCTTCTTCATACATGCACGTCTAGGTATCCGAGTACTCTTGACCCTACCCTCTTCGAGCAATTTGCTCACATGGTCTTCGAAAGTTAGTCTCGGTCTACCTCGACACCTTTTAATATTAACTTTCGCGCTATATATTTTCTTCACCATTCGGTCTTCACTCATTCGCTCAACGTGCCCAAACCACCGAAGCACGCCCTTATCAATTTTTGTGATAAGGTCATCTTTCAAACCTGCCATATTGCGAATCTCTTCGTTTCGCTTTCGGTCGGCCATAGTAACGCCGCACATTTTACGAAGAGATCGCATCTCCACTGCATTCAACTTACTTTTATGCTTCTTCTGGCATACCCAGGTTTCGCTGCCATATAACAAAGTCGGTACCAACACCGCGTTATGTATTGCAAGGCGTGCACTCTTCGCTACGCCTTGCCTTTTGACTAACGCAGTCAGGGCACCATTGACTTTGTTCCCGGCAGCGACACGCCTGTCCACATCTAAATCACATCTTCCATCCCGGCTAAAAGCACTCCCCAAGTATACAATTTCATTTACCTGTTCTAGACATTCCTGATTTACCCATATTTCACACTTCGTTCTCTCTTCGTCCCTTTCAAATACCAGAACCTTAGTTTTATTAGCATTCAAACGGAGACCTTTAATTTCACATTCCTCTTTCATACACGTGACTAATGCCTGCAGTTCTGCCTCTGATGGTGCAATAAGCACTGCATCATCAGCATACAAATTAAAGCTTTCAAAGTAAGCTTTCAAATTAATATATATTTATTTATTTACTTTTATATTTTAATAGATAAAATATAAACTTTTATATTTTTATTTTTATATTTAATACTACTTTTATATTTAATAGGTGATTTTTGTCCGACCTAGGTTTTTCTGTCAAGAAATTCTCAATAATAGCCCGGAGTCTGGAAATTGACGGTATTTCACCCACGTGCCTCAGAAAGGACATAAAGGCGTCGTCTGATCTTTCTTCGGTAGTGTCGGATTACCCGCCCGTCGGGCTATGAATGCGGCGGAATAGAGAGTGCGCCTGTGCTTGCGCATACACTCGAGCACTATAATCCTAACAAGGCCGCCGTGACCGAAATTTGGTCTGGAGGACATTATTATTATTAAAATTGAACTTACCTCATACATAGGTCCTTCCCTCTCAAGCAGTATTCCCCACAGTTGGCATTGTGCGAATATATTATCAGTGGATCGCAAAGCAGAGACTACTTCGTGCGAGGGCTTGTCCTTGTACGAGTCGTAGTTAAGATTGTCCTCGCGGTATGTGAGTGTACGCGGCACGTCCGTCAGTGACTGGTAGCCGATGTACTCGTGTTCCAGCTGTTTGAACTGGGTGAACATCTCCGCTGGGAACTCGCCTTGGCTCATGAAATCCAAGTGCTCTATAAGGTGGAAAAGTGGCAGCTTTTGAATGTGGAATGAAATGTACCTCTTTGAAGGGAGGATGAATGAAGGTTACCTCTCTTGGCCGATTTCAACCAAGGCGTAAACAGTTAAATTATTTCAGTAGCTATCAAATGTGCCGGCTTATTCGTAATACTCTTGCTAGGTGCCACAAAGCATAGAGTAGGATGCTGAGCTGTATTATGGCTTTTGGTAAGAATGGGGGAAAACCAGGATCGTGCAGAATACCAGCGTAAAACAGCAGTGTTATACTAATGTGTTCCATATGGCAAGTCTAGAGAAACAGAGATCCTTTAACGGAGGCTAGTAACAAGCATTCATTTTTAAATAACAAAAATAAATATTACTTGTATAATAGTGGAAGGTATTGCTCTTTGAGAAAACTCTGTTACTGTATATTATTCTCTTCATCCAGATATACTCTCCCATAGATAACCTCATAGAAAGGATATTTGTCATAGCTGCTATGTTATTGTTTCATTTCCTACTAGCGCTTCTTACGATACCCACAAGATTTTATGAAATAGTGCATTCTCTTACGCCGACATCACACGATGGTTCTTCTCTTATTATAATGCATCTACGAAATACCAGAAAGGACAATAGACTTGCTACTGAAATTATACCCAAGTGCTCGTTTAAAAAAAAAACTGCTACTAGATGTGTATTTTCTTATTAAATAAAATACCCCAAAATATAAAAGACTTACCTCTTAATAGATTTAAAGGAACATTGTTTTTATAATGTGAATGACTACCTAAATTTGACACGATGTGACACAACAGTAGTTATATATTTTTAATTGAATTTTAATCTTAATTGTATTTAAATTTGTATGTATTTGTATTAGTATTGCTAATTTGTAAACGATGACATGCCGATAAATGTTTTAATTTAATTTTATATTGTAATATAGTAGACTTAATTATAAAATATGTACTTGCATATATATATATTATAGATGGCTGAAAAGGGTGAACTACACTTTATAATAACCACCTAAATGTACCACTATTTCAAAGCAAATAAATCTTCATTTCATTTCTATGTATAAAAAACAATTACTGTCCGTTAGTCTCGCTAAAACTCGAAACTGATGATCGAGCGGATCGATTGTGATAAAAAAATTTAGTGCGTGTTTGAGTGGGTTCTTGGATGTTTTAGATTCACAATTGGACCCGGTAGATGGAGCTGTTGTCGAGATCCAGAAATCACCCATGCGAAGCCGGGGCGGATCGCTAGTTTTAAATAAATATTTTGATACTAACCTATACACGAGCTTGAGATCAAATTCTGTAAACGGCCAAGTCTTACTTTGACTCCGTCACAATGTCCTTTCTTAAGCATGGCAAATAAGTCGAGCATTTGTTTGAAGTGAGGGTCGCGCATGTGTTCTTCACGCACCAACAAGCACACGGTGGGACGTCCCGACAAACGCCAGTATCTGTAAAAGTATCAATATTATGAGGAAATTTATTTTATATCCTACAACACAAGTACGACATCCATGGGACGATATGGGTAGTAGATAATAGATATTCTTACACCGTCACTACACGGATATCCACTATCCCATAGCGACCCGTGGGTGTTGGAAGAGGCGACCGAGGGTATGAGAAACAGGAGATTGGCAGCAGCATCTTCCTGATAACAACTTAAAATTATATATAAAATAAAATATAGAAGCTACAGTTGCCAACCAGCCTGCCGAACGTGGTAACTATGGCGAACTTCTTACTATGTGAAACTCCATAATATGGAGAGTATGTTTAACAGTAGACTCTGGTTAGACTGTAATAATGATGATGATTGAAAAAATAAAAAAAATATCCGCTACAAATTCCATATACAATCCTGCTCCGTACAGTTTTCCGTTTCGTAAAGGTGATACGGTGAGGAAATCCACGAGTTAAAATCTATTGAAATAATTGTACCGTCTTGAAACTGTATAATTTAATCCATTTTCCATTTCGTGACGTGGGCGATGATTTTTTTTTATATAAAACTGAAGTGACAAACGAACTTACGGTCTACCTAGTATATACGTGGTACAGACATGGTGCAGTTATATTATGGTTGCAGCACGAATGGGTCGGCTTGACCGGAGGTGGATGACGCTTTCACAAAATACCAGCGTGAAATTGTAGCTTAATGCTGTTGTTTCGTATGGTGAATTTAGAGTACCGGAGACCCTTTTTACTGGATACGAGGTATTTCAGTTTGGTCTTCAGGGGTAATAACGTATCTTCATTTTGATTCTTAGTTGAGGATATATGTAGATGTCAATGGGCCACAATATCCACTTTCCATCAGGTGCACTGGATGCCCATTAATCACCCTTATATTATTAAAAAAAAAACCTGATGATAAGTGTCTACTGACACCTGCAGTCAACTTCAAACTAAGTGTCGTCGCCCACTGATTTTATTTTGCGCACAACGTGTCTATAGTTTTTGAATAACATTGTAAAAAGACAGTAATTGTATTTGTGTACAGTGCAAGCTTCTATTAAACTAGTTTTAAAAACACAAGCTTACTTTCCAACGAACTGTAGTTCAGTCTTTATATCATCAATCAATAAAGCCATGTCTCTATAAAGGTAAAATTCTGAAACTTCGAAAATGAGAGGGTAGCATAGCACCGTCATTCCGCAAACTCTGTAAATCTGAAAATGAAAAAAGTGTCATTCAAAAGTTAAATTAAAATTGATAAAAAGGCTTTTAGATCGCGCGTTAGAATTTCAGCCTTATGCTGAACGCACATTTGTCCGCGCCGCACGCGCCGTATGCGCCGAATTTTATAAAATGCGGTAGGTATACGATATCGAAGGACGAATGCTGATGACGTCATATAGCGCGGCGCGTGCTGATACTCAGTGTTGTCTCATGTTGCCAACTTAGTGAATTTTCCACTATAACTGGTGGTTTCGACTTACATGATCGTTTTTGTATTTTTATAACTTTTAATTCATTCGTAATTATTTATACATAATTTGATTTTTGTGCATCGATTATCAATATGTATACTTAGCGATAAATGATCTAAATACTGAACTAACAACAAAATACTTAAATTCAATTAAAAAACCCAATTATAGTTGATTACTTAATTAAAGATAAAAATACTTACCTCAAACATACAACAAGTCTTTTCATTGGTTCAATTGGCCTTCTAAATCTTGAGTTTTCCATAGAAAAATATGGCTTTAGTATATGTAGCAATTCTTGAAATTTCTTGTATTTTAAATGCAAATATCTAAAAAATCGTTCATCATCATCTAATAAGTCTTTAAATAAAGTGTATTATCCCCTTCATATTCTCCATACAATTGCCTTTTTAAATAAATATTACTTCTTCTTCGAATTTTATTTTCTTCTTCCTCTGCCAATAAGCAAGCTATATATGACTATATTTCTTTCCATAGTGAATTCGAGCGATCAATTTCACTGTACCGTTTCACACCAGTGGTTAGAAAAAACTACAAAAGTTGTTGGCAATACAAAAGATTTGCGTACGGTGCGGACGATGCGTACGGGCAAATGTGCGAGGCCATCAGTAAAACCCGGCGCGTACGGCGCGTATGATGCGTGCGGTGCGGACAAATGTGCGTTCAGTTTTATAGGCATATTTAAATTTAAATATATCACGTAGTATGCCACTAAAATTTTTATGTTGAAATACAAATTTTAAACTTTATTTCACCTAAAATGTTGATATCACATTATTTTTACTACACTACGTAAAATAATCTTTGGTCTTTTAAACAATGTTACTGCACCAATCGACCCGACTATATTCTTTTATAGGTACTCACATAATATTGTTTTCTCATATTAATTTACAATTTATTTTTCGTTGTTTAATAATATATAATTTTACCTTACTCGTTCCCAATGATCCCACGGGTCTGATAGGACGTCCCGTTAGTTTTAACTTTGGACAGACGCCCAACTCTCTATACACATGCACCAATTGTGTAGAACTGCACACCTAAAAACCGTTATTTAATATTATGTTATAAAATACTAAAAGCAAAATAGGGGCCACCATGTTTTGTTGGTAAAATTTCATAATACTCTCATATTATCTCTAGTACTATAATACTATATATTATACTATACTATATCGAAGATGGTCAACCACGTACGTATTTTAACAGATCTGTGGGACCGTCCCTCCAGAAGCATAGCAATCGCTTTCATATGAATGTAGAAATTGCAGCTGGTTCTTAAACAGGCATAGTGATTTGCATTAATACGACGAAATGAAATGTTAAAGAAAGGATCTTTCAACAGCAGCGTATGCTTACATACTGACAACACAAGTGACTGAGAATCTTGCACTAAATGATTTTTCACTTCACTTTTTTTGGCCAAGATTAACGTTCGGAATAATGTTAAGGACTCATAAATATGTTAGCTTTATGTTTAAACTCTTCATCGTCAGCTAACGATAACCGAATAAATTATTAATTTATAAACCGAATTCGAGATAAACTAGGGGTGGGTGCGATGTTATCTCGAATTTAGACCGGCCCAAGATGGCCGCTCTGAGTAGTGGGCTTGCCTAGCCCACTCCAGGTGTACGTTGATGGTCTATGGCAGGAGGGGTGTCCTCTCCCCCATCCCGTCGCAGCCGAGGTAGAGTCGCGTTGGAAGAGAAGTGTTGTGAAAGATGCGCCACTCGCCCTATCCTATGCAACTTTGGCGGGGACGCACCGTTGATGCTGTGGTGGTAGGGCTGAGGGGAGAGAGAAGTGTCGATATTGCGAGGCGCCGCTCTTCCTATTCTCCGCGGTCGAAACTTTTTTGGCGGCGGAGCTACAGAACAGCCGTCAGTGTTCGAGTGCTCGTTTTTTCCTGACCCCATTTCATCTGAGTATCGGACTTGGGGGTGTCCATTACGCAGGTGGAGTTAGAGGCCGCCGAGCCAGGCGCACCTTGTTCCTGGGGTTTCTTTGCCGGCGCGTGTCCGATATAACCCGTACTTGCCCCTGCGAGGCGGGTATGCGTAGGCATACATATGTAATATGGGTCCTTTTTTGGTTTGAGTAAGTAGTAAAACTTCTTGATGAAATAATCTATTGACTAATAATACCACCCAATATACACCATATTTAAAAACAAGTACTAAATTACTTTACTAACGTAAAGTACACAGCTGCATAACACTGGTCCACCTTCATATTTATTGGGAGGATTCCCGAAGCAAGGAATAACCGCCACGCTGATTCAGTTTGTGATGGCGAATTTCATTGAAAATGTTTGATCAATTTTGACTAAGCACTTTACCTGAACTGGTTCAACTTCATGCGGCGTCTGTGTTTGTATGCCATATGTTCCCAACATCGCTTGTAAACGCATTGATTCCGCTATGAGTACTACTTGAACCACAAGATCTGTCGCGGTGCCCTGTATTATCAGAAGTAGATATTATATAAGATTATCGTTATTATGGCATTTTAATATTAAACAATCGTAAACTATAAAATAATTGTAAAATTATATTCTTATACAATTTCGTAACTTTAAAAGCAAACCAAGCGGGCTGCATTGCCGTCCGGATATCATTATCATCAGCTTTACCATCGTATAACGTATTAATATAAATTAAATCGGTTCACAAATGACAAAATTATCGCGTAACATACATGTAAAAAAAAAACATAAAGTCGAATTAGAACCTTTCTTTGGAAGTCGGCCAAAAATTTATTTTTGTAAATTGCAGTCTGCTTTTTATGCCTAGTACAAACTGCAATACATGCCACCACGATTATAAGAATGATACTGGTACTTACAAATGCTGGCTTGGCCTGGAGTTAGTGCATGGAAATAAAATATCGGCATGTAAAGTCATGACCGCTTTTCCATTTTGATATCGGTTTACAGAACTTCAATAACTCATAAAAGAACATAATTCATTTATAATGAGCTTATAAACTATTTTATAAAAAAATAAAGTATTAATATTTAAACAAAAATGTTGTCGTAAATATACTGCTTCAATTTTAATTTAAAAAGGCCAAATGAGTCGCTCTCTTTTATATCATTAGGTAATTTGTTGTACATTTGTGCTCCCTCAAACATTATGTTCCTTTTACCGTGTCTAATTAAATAGTAAACAAATAATACAAAGGCATCATTATGAATGAACGCTTTTATTAAGTTTAGTAGAAGTCTGACAGAAGTTACATAGTCACAATCACATAGATATGCTCGTATCACAGCGCCGTAAGAGCATTTCATCTTACAAGTAGGTGTCGTAAAAATCAATTTGAGTACTAAAAATATAGGGCACTTCTGGCAAATGTCAAATATTGAAATGACCATTTAAAGTGCCAGATTTAATTTTAATTATATTAATATAGAGAATTAATGCCATGTTATCAATAGTGGATCGTAACTTCATTAAATTGCTTCCTTAGAACCTATTAATTACAAAAAAATTGATTGGTTTTAAAATACTAGAGCCGATGATGGAAAGTAGAATTTGTGAAGGGATGCGTAAATAAAGTCAATTTAGTGAAAAATTTCCAAAACAGATGGCACTTAAATATGAATATGATAAAACAGCACCTGAAAAGCGGAGTAACGTCCTGCTCGTCGGGGTCGGTTATATGATGGCAGATATCGTCGAATAGGGTCCAACTCATTTACATGTAGCAACCCGCCCGTTAACAATTGCGCCAGGACAAACATTGACTGCGCCCATAGGAACAAGCCACCTGTGTCTGAATCAATTTTTTTAATACAACAGAAGGTGACACTGATAACAAACTAAAGCTCTTAGAAGCACATTGATCAAATTAAAAAGATAGGTATTAGCGAACCGCAACCTCACTGCACAGTCGCATTTGAAAATATAGTTATTTTAATCACTTTTTGTTTATTAGCACAAGAACCATGCAAAAGTTGTCTTGTTAGACAGTAAGCTCATAACACATATATTGTATGGTAAGTAAAATTAATAAATTGTATTTTTATTCATTTTAATATTGTTAAGTAGGTTGTTAGAGCAGATAAAAAGAAAAGGGAACTCTTGCTTATTTAAGATAATTACAAATCTATTCACAAGTTGAAATAGATGTTTTTTTTTTTTACTTCAATATTTATACACGGCATACAATTATTGTTGGTTAAGCAATAGTTTATCAATATTATTGCTAGCAATGTTTAACGTCAAACAACGTGTTTAAGTCAATGTACTTAAGATATTATTATCCTTTCCAAATTGTTTCTCAATATATTCAGGGTTTCAGAAATCCCGTTCTAAAGTATCGATTTTTAGGGTTCCGCTATAATACAAGGAACAGTTATAATTTTTTTCTTTCCGTCTGCCTTACTGTGACAAATTATCGATTCTGAACCACTTTTAGCAATTAAGCTTATTTTACGAATATAAAGTTAACAACAGGTAATTTGCCTATCTAACACTTTAGTTCTTTAATAATTTTAATTTTTTTTTTTTTTATAGGAGAGGGGGCAAACGAGCATGCGGCTCACCTGATGGTAAGTGACTACCGCCGCCCATGAACAACCGCAACACCAGGGGAATTGCAGATGCGTTGCCGGCCTTTTAAAAAGGAGTAGGCTCTTTTCTTGAAGGTCCCTAAGTCGTATCGGTCCGGAAAAATCCCTGATGGTAAACTATTCCACAAGGAAGTTGTGCGAGGAAGAAAACATCTTTTAAATCGCACAGTGGTGGACCGCCAATCATCCAGATGGTGTGGATGGTATCGGGAGTTCTGCCGCGATGTGCGTTCGTGAAATTTGGCGGCTGGGATTAATCCGAACAATTCCTCAGAGCACTCCCCATGGTAGATGCGAAAGAAAATGCAAAGAGATGCAACATCTCTTCGCAGTGCCAATGAATCGAGCCGATCGGAAAGGGCTCGGTCGTCGACGATTCGAGCCGCTCTGCGCTGGATGCGGTCAAGTGGAAGGAGCTGGCACTGGGGAGCCCCTGCCCAGAGATGGGAACAGTATTCCATGTGAGGCCGAACCTGCGCCTTGTAAAGTTGCAGGCGGTGTGCCGGCATGAAATACTGTCCCGCTCTGCTGAGCACGCCAAGCTTTTTAGAGGCCAATTTGGCCTTCTCTTCCAAGTGACCACGAAACTGCACGTCACTCGATATGTCGACTCCGAGGATACCGATACTGGCTGAGGCAAGAAGGGGAGTGCCTTGAAACTGAGGAGATACGACAAAGGGGTTCTTTTTAGCGGTAAACGCGCAAACTTGTGTCTTCTGAGGATTAAACTGGACTAGATTTAGTCGCCCCCAATCCGAGACTTTGTCCAGCAAAGACTCGACTTCAGACACAAGTTTGTTCCGGTACTCGGCGACGTTTTCCCGAGAAATATTGGCCCGGCCGGTGTATAGAGCATCACCAGTGCTGTCATCCGCATAGCAATGAATGTTACCAGTTAGCAACATATCATTGATATGCAGAAGAAACAGCGTTGGTGATAGCACACAGCCTTGTGGAACACCAGCGTTAATAGGTTTGTAGTCAGAACATGCACCGTCTACAACGACCTTGATGCTCCGATCTGCAAGAAAGCTGGTGATCCAATTGCACAATTTCTCGGGAAGCCCATAGGAAGGCAGCTTCGAAAGAAGCGCTTTGTGCCAAACCCGATCAAAGGCCTTCGCAATGTCCAGACTAACGGCCAACGCCTCCCCCTTGGACTCTACTGCCTCCGCCCAACTATGGGTCAGGTAGACCAGAAGATCACCAGCTGATCGACACCGACGAAAACCTAAAAAATTAATGTAAGTAGCATTTTAATTTTAAACAATAACAAAGACAATATGCATAGCAGAGCCCTACGATACGCGTGTCCTAATACGCGTTTAGCTGACGTTTAGTCATATTCTTATTATCTTTAAGTTCTTTTGTTGATGAAATCTTTAATATTTTTCTATATTCCTTATAATCATTTAATTATTTTTTTCGCACTTCTGCCATATTTATAGACACAAAAAGTCGTCCATACACGGAATGAAATATAATATCATAGCTTACACGTCAACAATCGTTGATATATTCGTGTTTTCGACTATAATGTAATCCTCGCTGATGATCAGTTGAAGTTGCCGATCAGTAGCTGATCGGCAATTTGTCAATATACTGTCAGCAATATTGCAATCACAACAATTATGCCCAACAGATATTACCATGAATACGCTTTTATAGCTTTATATCGTGCAAGGCAATCGCATTCAATATTAAATGAACTACACGAAGCAACTATTCTTATTAGTAAAAAAGCGAAATTGGAAAATTAGCCAACACACTGAGATTGAATAAGTTGTAAAGACAGTTAAATTCATTGTCTATGGGAAGATATTTTACCTTTATTTTCATTATCGCCAGGTTGGTCTGTAATTATATTGAAATCTTAATTATGTTGGTGGAAGTAGAAAGCGGTCGTATTGAAATGAAATGAAATTATATTTATTTATTTCAATGATTATGTACCATTGGCCAAAATTTCGCAAACGACAAGTAACGGCCAATTAAGGTGAGGTTAGGTCTTGAGCACTTTTAGCGCCAATGTATATCGCCGGGAAAATTATGATTGTGGAGGATCATTGTAGGCCTGTGTAACTTAGCAAAAATGCTTGAGTTGATTCTAATGATTTGGATAAAATTTTGTATTTAGATCAAAAAATTAACTTTCTAAGTTTATCTAGACATGTGACAAAATACCATGAGAAATGCGATATCACACAAAAAAAATAATTAAAAAGAAATTTCTAACTTAGAGCGAAGCTTGGTCGAAAAGGATAATTTGTTGTATGAGAGAAAAAAAAAAAGAAAATCACACAATCGAATATTTTTTGTTTCACAGGAAAGAAAACACATTTTTGAGACCAACAATACAACTGCAATTAATTGTAGAGGAGTGCTCGATTCACATGTTTATTTTCAGTCAACAATGTCCACACTAATGTGTGTGTGTGTGTGTGTGTGTTATCATTGATATTGAAATTATAAACTATGTATTTGTATTATTACACATTATTTATTATTTTTTTACATTGTCTCTTCCCTCCATTCCAATGGATTTTGGCACAGTATTATCCAATATAATAAAATAAAAAAGTGAATTTAAAAAGAAATGTATTTATATTTTTGAATATACTATATTGTTTTTGATATTTTTATACTGTCGTCCATATTTTAAGCTATGTTCAAAACTTCTCTCTAGTTCATCGGAAAATTTGTTTAAAATCAATTACTAAATTTGAACCAAAAAGACATATACGAAAGCAAGTAAATTGAAAACGTGGTAAAAAAGGAATGCTTTCCTCGATGTAACTTGCAGGACAATCTTTTCTACTTTGTGAAATAAAAACTAACTTACTGGCAGGTATCCTTCGAACAGAATAAGGCTCATTGCGTTCATTTTCCACGCCTTCCCGAGGGACGTAATAATACCAGGGTATTACAGGATCTATAAAATACCAAAAGTTACAATTTTGTAAACCAAACAATGATTCAAATGAACTATAAAATATTATAAGAACCTCCATATTCATCCATATATATTCGAGACTTCAATAATTTCTGATATTCCTCCACTTGATCGGGTAAAGTGCGAAATACACCGTCAATGATCATCATAACATAAAACAGCGGCCACTCTGATTCGATGCCATCGAATTCTTTCAACTCTCCTTCATGGTAATACCTTCTGTTGGGATCTTCGAGGGCACATTTGTAGCCGTCGCGGCTGAACCTTTTGAAGCCGTATTTGCCTTGTAGTCGAGTGAGAATGTTGTTTTTTGTTAGCTGTACCAAAATGTCTTCATGTGTAGCAAACGCAGGAAATGATATCGTAGGGAGTAGTGCAGCATCAACTCCCTGTAAAACATATAATTGCTTGGTATTAATTGATTTTGATAGTCATAACATTATAATGATATATCTATTAGTTATTTATTCCCGTTTACTTAGTACAAACTGTATGTACAAGAATAGTTTTAAAATATAAATATACACATGAAATCACTTTCAATTAGAAGAAAACATTATATACAGTGACAATTATAAGTTTTGTTCGTTTAACCCTCTCAGAACTGAGAGGAGGCCTGAGTCCAGCCGTGAGACGTACAAATGCTGTAAGTTTACTTTTTTATTTGTTTAGAGTTATTAAATAGAGTCATATTATAAGCGATTATACAAATTTCTAACCTTCGAACTTGATTCGCGAGGTAGCATCGTTTCGAAAATGCTTCTATTGCGGTTATGGGCATCGATATCAACATAGACAACGCTCCACGACGCACCTTTGTCTCCAAACAAGTTGCATCCATTTATAGCTTCTAAGGCTGCTTTTGCCATACCTAAATGATATTTTAAATAATTAATTGCGTTTAATCTGTGTCTGTTATAATGTCGTGTTAATGTAGTATTTTTATAAAACTGAATTTTCAACAAACGTACAGTTCATCTGATGATTAGTGGTTACTGCAGCCCATGGACACCTGCCTAAGTCTACAAATGCGTTGTCACCTATGAGGACCCAGCTAAGATGACATGCTTCACAGCGTGTAATTATACTGACTCTCTATACACCCTTCCGACCTGAACACAGCAGTGCAAGCAATTGTGCCGACGCTTTTAAGGTGGAAAGATTTTATATTTACAATATAGTTCACGTGATTGTAAGCGCTATTAACATGCCGCGAGGGCCGCATGCGCTATGGTCATGGAATTTGCATACGATTTCATATCTTCGTTTCACTGGACATTACAACTCCGTAGCGCAGTGGCTAACCGTTGGGTCTCAGCGCTGCTGGCCGCGGGTTCGAATCACGCACGTAACAAATGTTTGTATAGTTTACAATTAATTGTTCCGGGTCATATCTAGCATTTCCATTTGAAATGTATCTGTTTAAACCGCCTGCATGATATAGGAGAAAATCATAGTTTGCGAGTGACATTAATTTAGAAAAATAATATAATTTAGAAAAATAAAATATGTGTGTAATTAATATGACCTCAGTTGTTCAGAAGTGACTTACCGACACACTAACAGTTATAAATTATAATTAAATAATAAACTATGGGAAGTAACGAAATCAAACATCATGATGCATAATAACACCAAAGATAAATAATTTATATTTAACTTTTGTGTAATTATGCATTATATTATTATTATATTATATTATTATTATATTATATTATAATATTACTATATTATTGGCATATTAGTTACCTATGGAGGAAGCGTGAATTTCCGGTTTACCATCATTGTATTTGGATCCTCGTTCCCACATGCCATAATCTGGAGTTCTGTAAGCTCTTTCAACATAGTAAACTAAGTTCTGAACAAATGCTACTTCATCCTATAAACAGAAAATATGTAAAGTTTTATTTATTTATTTATTTAAGCTTTATTTGCACACATACAAGAAATGTACAAAACGGCGGACTTAATGCCTAAAGGCATTCTCTACCAGTCTACCTTTGGTTTGTGCAGAGAATCTAGTGATGGGTGCAAAACTCATAAATAAAAAAAAAATAAAAAAATTAAAGGTTTAAGGAAAAAAAAATACAAAATTATAATATAATGATAATAAATACAATACATATACATTTACATTACTACTTACATGCATACAATAGTATTTTATACTTGTACACAAATACCCACAATAAATACATACACAGTAAATAAATATGATATTTTTATATTATAAATATTTGAGAATATAACAGTTTCCGAGGTTCTTTAAATTTTTTTATTATTATCCGAAACTACTGCTGCTTCGTTAAGTAATATTCCCAGAGCAAACGTTTAAAGATAGGTTTAGTTTTTGCTTCTTTTATATTTCTGGGTAACATGTTCCAGAGTCTTACTGCATTTGAAGTGAAAGAATTGTAAGAGAAGCCCGTGCGACAGAAAGGAACATGAAGAGTTAGATTTTCCGCGGAACGGAGACATCGGTTGTGAGAATCGTCCTGATACTGAAATTAGCATTTCAGATATGCAGGGACAGACGGATCGTGTAAAATAGAGAATAGCATAGAAAGGATTCTAAAAGATCTACGAAGTGGAAGAGGCAGCCATTTGAGCTGAGAACGGAATGAAGAAACGTGATCGAATTTACGTAAGCCAAAGATAAAGCGAATACAATTATTGAGAAGACGATCCAGTTTGTTAAGAAGTTCTTGAGAGGCATCAGCATAGCATACATCTGCATAATCTAGTATTGGTAATACGAGCGTTTGAACCAACATTTTTCCTGTATGTAAGCAAAAGTTGCTTACATACAGGAAAGGGATTTTTTGAGTGAAGCCCTAAGGACTGAATTAAGGGGGAAACCCCATCTAAAAACGCACAAACTCTACAGACTGGTGAAGTGGGGAGTCATAAACCTTCCGCTCAACATAACGGGTGTGGGCAATTTTTCACAAATTTATTTCTGCTAGCGCAATTTCGAAAATGCTTATTTCCAGCAATGGATAATTAAAAGGCTGACAGCATCCAAAGCACAGCTATTCTCTAGATACTCTAGCACTTTATGTAATTCTTAGATGTCTCCAAACACCTTAGTGTATGAATATTTTATGGATTCAACCAGATATCTTAATAGTGTAAAAAGAATTTTACGTTGTTTTTGTTGTTGTAAATTCCTTTGTTATGAAAAACATAGTCTAATTAGGATCAATCTCCCCCTAAGGTCTTTAAAAGAAATAAATTTGATATGTTCATTGGTAATATATATGTTATAGTCAAACGTTGAAGCTCCGGTGCTCCTAGTTGCCTAGTCAAACCTCAGGTCTGACATAAAATCTTAGTCAAAGTCCAAATAAATGACGTTTATCTGCCTTTGACTAACGAGTTTTTGTCTAACCTATGAAAGACTAATATGGACAGTCAAACGCCGGAACTCAACTTTGACCAGTCAGATCTCATTTAGATAGTTACCTATTGGAATGTGTTAGTTTGTCAGATTAAGTATAATAAAAGGACATTTTTTTTTAATTTTAATGTTTATTGTTACCATGTTATAAGAATCTCACCTCACTTTTTTACGCAGGAATATTGACCCAAAATTACTTCTGCAACGGCTTCGGCGCTGCGGGAAGTGAAGTCCCTTCGCCCTTGCGTAGCAAATCGCAGGAAGCTATGCTCACCTCCGCAGCTTTGGCTTATTGATCGCCTTCAGCAACCAGTCTCAGCTGCTACGATTCGCGCAGGTTCCTGCGATTTGCTACAGCGGGCGAGGGCTGCTCTCCCTCCGCGCCTACGGCTTTACAAAAACACTTTAGGGGTAGGGCAGTCAATACTACTTGTAGTCGGTGCATGGTGATTTAGATTTACAACAGATTCGACCTATCTCTAAAGCCAGGTTGCACTTAACTCTGCTATGATAGTGGTAAATGAAACAATGTTATGTGAATTGTTATAATTTTGTTTACTTTAAAAAAATTGACTGCTCTCCACTGCGACTCAATTCGTTGTGTACGACTCCCATCTTTAGCCACAAATGAATACGAATCGAGGTTTGACTAAATTTGCCCTAGTCGCTTCTAGTAAAGACTAGGCAAAGCCCGAAAAAGATTATTTTACTTTCAACGTTTGACTAAAAAGTTAGGTACTTCTAGGTTTGACTAAAAATACTTCAGTCAAAGGCCGAACTTAGAATTTATTTCTGGGTTTACCGAGAGGCCTTGTTCAAACCTAGGATAAGCCAATAATTGCGGAAAGAGACTGCATATCGACCTTTGACTATAACATATATGTTAATTTAGAATGGTTTAGTATAGATAAGGTATACCTGTGTGTATATGATTTGCAATCCAGCTGTTATCATTTGCACAAGAAACAATAAATAAAGTGAGACAACATCTATTTGCAAATGATGATACTCTTCATCAGAAAGAACTGGTTCTCCAGTAATAAGGTGGAATTTTACATGGAGAGCATGTGCGGCACATTGGCGAGTTTTAAATGCTTCAACCCTCGCAGATTGTTTTATCCAGCATTCTAAAATACCGCGCATGCATTTGACTGTGCTTTGACCTAACTCATGCGACTTTCCTCGATCATCGTCAATACGCCTGAAAAATACAATCTCATTTTTATATTTTAATAGTTTTATTTTGTAAGTACATACATCTAATACAAATGTTTTAAAAAATTGTGTCAAACTAAAATAAAGTAAGTTGAATGAACCTAAAGAGTAAGGCCAAATAGTGGTAATATAGGCACAAAAATTTTGATGTTAATTGTTTTAGTTAAACGAAAATCTAAAATTAAATATAAAATACATGAGAATATTAGAAAATATTCTCATGTATTTAATAAGCACAATATATTTTTATGTTAATAATAATTAATATAGTTCAAGTGCAGTAGGGAAGCACATGCTGTTTCCCTTTATGGCTCGACTTTTGACAGGATTTGGCACTCCAGCCTATTGTGCAAGCTTCCAGCGTAAGGCTGGTCTGGTCTGGTAAAATTGGTCATCTGAGCAAAAACCTACTAACGCCGGAGTTCTTCGGGTGTCCATTCCCTCCGCAACACTCTTCCTGCTGCATAATAATGATCTGCTTATGTCCCGTATCTATCGGTATGCAGACGACAGCATTGTTGTGAAGGGATACCAGCCGAATGCTCGGGCCAGATGGGATCAAATCCAGTCCTAAAGAAAGGCTATGTTGGAGCGTAGGAATCTTTAATGCATTCTCAGGCATTATCTGAAATGAATTGATGCCAATTTTGTGAGATTCAACGCATCCAAAATACAAGCATGTCTCGTTACTGCAAAAAAGGAACCCGCTCACAACTTTCCTACAGTTGTTGGGAGTTAAGATTCCTTGGAACATCAACTTGAGTTGAAGCGGCGGCTTCTGATTGTATTTAAAACGTTAGACATATTGTGCATGGACTATTGCTGTTTCGTATGTGTTGGTGCTTTAAAATACGACCTATCAGCGTTGGACTCAGTTGAGAAGTGTGCTAAGAGGCTCTTTGGTGACCTTGATTTGAAGATGATAGAAAACTATGTTGTCAGCTTGCTCTAATGTCTCCCTCCTCTTTCCAACATTGGACAACCAAGCGGTCAATAGCCGTTCACTCCTTTGTTGTCAATATTCCACGCATTTGAACCTAACGGTTTGCTTTGTTTTCCATAATGCGTGCAGCAAAATACCTTGAAATAATTTCTCAAGAATAAATAGACCTTTTGTAACGCTAAGACAATACGATGGCATCATCTGGGGCTTCATCATCACCTACCACCAGAGGGAATGGTGGTCAAGCACTGGCTTATTAAAAGTAAAAAAAAAAGTCTCATAGAGGTTGTAACCTCCATTTATCGTATTATTTATTTATGAAAAGCTTTATTCATGAATGTAATTTCATAATATACGCTTACTTATTGCAAGACCGTCATTTCTCAAAATCTTGACTTTTCACGAATTTATAAAAAAAAAACATTCCTTTAAGGTGAAAGCGTTTTTTGGAATTTGCAGATCATGGTCAGGTTGTATGTTTAATAAAATATGATTCGCGACCGTAACGAGTATGTGTTTACAGAATTATTATCATTAAAATCACCAATACAACCCTACAAGTTCATATAATCCCTTTGAATGAGTTTTTCTGGAAATAGCCATACAATGGGATTATACGAACTTAGAGGGTTGTATTGATGATTATAATTATTATAATTCTCTAAATACTTACTCGTTACGCGTCGGTCGGTCGCGAAACATATTTTATTAAACATACAACCTGACACTGACCTACAAATTGCAAAAAACGTAAAAAAATTTGAATTTCGCGGGTTACCCTGGCGCTTTCACCTTAATGGTATACTCTTGATGCAATAAGGACAAAAACTTATTTTCACTTTAGGTCGCTAAATGGCAAGAAGTTTCCTAATTGCACGATATTGCTAGGTGTCATAATTTTTATTGCAACAACGTTCTATCTTAATTAATCACCAAATACATGTGTGATGTACTGCGCAAGGACATCATATTTGGCACTATTTCTTTATGGCAACAAATGGTAAGAACAATTTTTATATAAATATTTTAATAAAATATAGTCATTATGTGTAATTTAAAATATGTAATGTTTAGTAATATTATTTAGCAATGAGACGTTATTGTTGAAAAATGTACGCACGTTTATATATTATTTGCAGTTATGACTTTATTAAACGATAATTTCTTAATTTCAACACTGAACAGTACAGGTAACATTTAGAATTATGTCGTTCTTATTGAAAAATGTGCTAAACTTACAGTATTATTTTAGGTTATGTTATTATTGCAATAAACACCAGGTGTGCTTTTGAAGTTGATTTAAAAATCTGAAATTTATTTTATCATTTCAGGCGTTTCAAGGGCGACTATTAGCTGACCTTGTTAACAATCGTAACGATAATAATAGTAAATACAAAGAAGATCGAGACACCATTCAACCATTGTATATTAACATGCATCCTACAAAATGAAAAATAAATTCAGCTTATCCACTTCCTTTTCGTCGTCTTAGTCTAGTTCATCAAGTTCATCTAGTGAGGATGAAATGTTCAATGTTGAAGATCGTCAAGATGAAGAAGGCGTTATGACATATTTACTCTAAACAATCTTAAAATTCATTAATTACAGCGTATCAAAATTCTACTTCTGAACGTAGACTTTCCCATAAATTGCCTAAATTCTTGCCATAATTGCCGCGCTCGGCAAGCAGGTAGGCAACTGCAATTTTCCTGAGTTTATCAGAGTGGTGCTGCCCACCACCTGTTTCAATTTCCCTCTGTTGCTTTTTGCAGGATGAAATGGAATAGTGGATACTCTTGCTATTATTTATTTTAAATGATGTACATTATTTTTATTGATTTAGTACATTATTGAAATTAATGAAATTTTGAGATAATCCGAAATTGTTGCTCGATAGCTTCAACTAGCACTTAACCACTTTTCTTTTACGAAGAAGATTGCGACCATTCGGATAAAGATTGAGATTACATACCAAATACAGAAAGTAGTAGTTCTAGTGAAAAATAATCTACTTCTATACATTCAGTTACAGTTCAAAACAATATGCTAGCAAGTATGATATATAGTAGCCTAGAAAAGAAGAAACAGAAAAAAAAAATATTAAAAGAAAATTGTGAAAGACGTCAAGAGGAACAGACAAAGAAAATGGCAGAACAAAACAGAACTTAATGTGTTTAAAGTTGATGCAGTTCACTTATTAATTGAACGACAGATTAAATGCCATAATATAAGAAGTGGTCCCATGTATACACACACACCCGTATCTTTTATAACTGCTATAAAAATGGGTAAAAGAAATGGAACGCCTTTTTTGAAGTCCATGAATTAAGTCACAAAAAATTTCTATGACATATAAAACTATTTTCAAGTTTAGAATGTCTGAGTATCGACGTTATGTATGTTAACATGTTCAGGATCGTCCTAACCATTACATAAGATTTGATAAACTGCAAATCCTCGCAAAAGAACACCGTTTCCTACCAAGGATGATTCGCGAGGCTAATGAAATTTTAAAAAAAAACATTCTAATTTTAACAGAGAAGATCGCTGCGTGCTATCATCTGCTTGGGGTCCCGTAATTAATAAAATTAAATCCAAAGTCCAGCATACTACTGCAAGACTTTAAGATACTGTAAGCTCGTTCTGTGTAGTTAGGACCAAAATTAATAATTAAAAGTTAAAGGTAGCTTAAAAAACTATGACATCGGGACGCCAAACACCTTAATCCCCCCCGTGACCATGAGTGCTGGAAAATCCCCGAAAAGACAGGAATTAAAAAAAATTAAACGCCGATAAAATCCGTAAAATTAGTTTTATTCCATGAAAGAAATAAAATTAAAGGTCTCAAAAATATGTTTTATATCATTATATTGTTTCGATTTTTGTCTAAAATATGGTTCTAATTCAATATAAATCATATGTAATTCGTTTATTATTTTTCTGTAAGAATAACACATAATGGAATAATTACAGTATTTTTAAGCAAACTTTTTCTGCAATAATGACGCCAGTGAGTACGCATGGCTTTTTTTAATTGTCATGTGAACACTTATTTATTTTTAAAGTTCATTAATCAATAAAAGCAATCTCATTAAGTTGAAAACGTAAATTAAAACTGTTTTATTTTTAACATACAAGTTCAAAGTTTAAAACTACTCTCTGTTAAAATGACGTTTTTCGTGTTATGACTGTCTTGCAATAAGTGAGCGATATATATAATTATAAGTAACTTTTCTTAATAACACAAACATGTCATTTGCAAATTATCTGGTAACTCCATCACCAGTAGCCCATTCACAATTTAAGCATTATAATATATGAAAAAAAAATTGTTTACTTGTAAGAGTCGTCAGAGCAAAACCATAACAATTTAAAAAAATAACATGTGTGTAGGTCACATGTGGTAGAAGAAAAACTAAACTTCGAGAGAATAAGGCGAATGCGGAGTATCGGGACTAGGATAATTCTAGGGTTTATTTGTTATAATATGTAATGTTTCCAAGTTTAAAAATAATAAATTAAATATTTTCTTTCGAGAAAAAGTACTTTTTAATAACGCCATCTACAACATTTTATAGGTAAAGTCATTTTATCAAACAAAAATTGATTGACTCTCAAGGCGGTACGTAAAATAGACGCTAGATGGCATAAACACTACTAATTTAATATAAATGGGTAAGTTATGAAATCATAGATTGTTATTAATGGATTGGATATGATAACTTTATTCAATATGGTTAATTTAATTAATTTAATAAATTTGTTAATTTTCTAAATTGTTTAATATATCAGTTAAAAGTTATAATAACCATTTTTAAAGCACCGAACAAAGAGGAGACAGAGATAATAGGAAACATTGTACATATGCTGTATTCTATCTCATTCTTTCGCAGGCTATCCTGTGTGTATAACTTTGTCGGTTTTTAGTATCGATTTCTTGTTTCACCAAGTTTCAAATCACAACGATTCTAAAGTTATCACTTTGAAAAAAAAACAACAAACCCACTTTCGATTCGGTTGCCAACGCGCCTGCGGAATGGCAGCTATGGAAATAATTTTTTTAAGTGGACTTTTGATAGGCTCTAATGAATGAAAAAAATATAGGAATTAAATGATGTATTGCAAGTTATAAACAAAACTTATTTTACCTGTATGCCTGATATAAGCCCCACACAGCCACTGCACAATATATACTATCTCGCACACTGCCTACATGTAGATCAGAAGATAGAACTGGGAACAATCCAGTTATTGGACTTTGAAATCGTAACAGTTGCCTTTTAACTGCAATGAAATTATTTCAATATTAATATAAACCAGATAAATTTTAATATTGATTGACATTGTACATAATATTGTTTTTTATGTGTTTCTTTTTATTATTACTTATGATATTCTATTACTCACTTAGCCTCATATCAATGAGGCTAATGTAACTTTTAACAAATATTGGAGTTAAATATGATTTTAACAAGACACATAGTCTTAGCACTAACCATCTGAGCTACTACGACTCTTTGTATGCCGTGGCAAACTTTAATTAAGACCACACTTAGATATAAACTTTCCTGTTATTTTTAGTATACATTGTGTTGATTTCAATTTCACATTTTAAGAAATATAAGAAAACGTCACTTAATATAAGTTTAACCGATTCGTTGCGGCACCGATATTCGACAACTTTTAGCTGTGGTAACAAATATTTATGACACGCCTGACGTGTCAAGAGCCACAGAAGTTTTTTACTTGTTTAGACCTAATTAAGTTTAGTTGACATTAAACATCGGTTACAAAAGGAAGGATACTTGTTTTTAGTGGGTAACTACGTCTTTTTCTACACGTTTTTTTTTAATTGAGAGTAAGTGACTTTTTTATGCAGAGATTATAAACCTTTTGTCAAAAAATGATTTATATAAGTAGGTGCCTACAGCTAAATCACCCTGGAAAACCTTGGTTTATATTAAGTTAAATTTTCACCTCATAATAATATTTGTAAATATCAAACAATCAAGAACTTTAATTTGGAAAAAAATAAGGATTATGATTCATTAATATTTACAAATGTTAAATATTATTTAATGTTATACAAATGTAAAAGTAAAGTCGATTTGAAAATGTGTAATTAGTAAGAAAAGCAAAACAAGTATTTTCAAAAGGAAACCAACGCCGGCGCTATACGCCGGCGGATTGACAAAAGACTATTAGCGAACTTTTTTTATGCATGAACGGTTTCAAACTGTTTCAAGCAAAAATAAACCTTATACCATATCACAAGAGCACATGGTACTTCGTAGGTCTATCCGGCCATATGATAGTAATAAGACGGCAGTTCAACCATTTTAAGCAAAATTAAACAATAAGACGTATTGTTTTTTTTTTTAACAGGAGACTTGTTTTCCAGAAATTTATTTACAACTTGAGTTTGTGAGCGATCGCAATGAGTGCTATTATTTGTTACTTATTAGACTATTTTTCCACAACATGATTGAAAACCCACAAAGTAAAAACAGTACCATGTACAAGTTAAAAAAAGGTTGTCACCCCCTAAAAATTTCAAATTTTTAAAATATCCAGAAACGAAGCCGCAGGCATGAACTACTTGCAAAATAATGAATATATTGTTCTGGATAAATTTTCCAAAAACGCAGTTTGAGCGACTTATAAAGATTTTTAAAAAGACACGACTCCTGTATCATACGCCACACACAAAAGTAATCGAGGGCACGCCTGGCGTGTTGTCAAAAATTGTCGTCGCAACCAATTGGTGAACCAAACTTATTTTATTGTCATTTTACTTAGGATTGAAAAATAATTAATGTTTTCCTAAAAAGCGGCAATATTTTGTGTTCTCAGTACAAAATTGTAGTACTCTGTATATATTTAATAATAATAATAGATTATAAATATATGTTACGTACATAAATATCTACTGTGCTTTTTTATTTATTTTTAACTCCATTAATTATAGGTTTTATTACATATCTTCAATATTTTAGTATATACATAAACCACAAATAACCAACCATATCCCCATACACACACGCACACGCCTCGCACACACATTTTATACGCGTAGAATCAATAGGTACGTCAATATGAATGAAATATAAAATCTCCCACATTTTTTGGGAAATCGATTGACACTGTTATTACCAAAGTCACGCACATTAATGCAGCCATGGTACGTAAGATATGCGCGTCACGTGGTACTCACGCACACATGAATCAAAGACAGAAGTCACTATAAATGGTGTGGTGTGTTAGCAACACGGTATCTGGACCTATAAAACATCTTTGTTATAATCATATCTTTTAATAGTAAGGGATTAAGAGTAATAGTTGCATTAACCCCATCAGGGGTTAATGCAAATATTACTAACTTAGCCTTGTATCAATGAGGCTAATGTAACTTTTACCAAATATTGGAGTTATATATGATTTTAAAAAGATTATGTAAGCTTTATCCTAATTAATTTACTTGGATATAAGTCTCAATTAATTGTTTTCATGTGGTATCAAATAATTGAGATAATAATATATTTATTGGCAAGAATATATTACTTTCAAACACATCTGTTGCTATTCCATTGTCTATAAATGAAAACAATGTTAGATTCCTACTCATAATTAGAATTATTTTTATGTAAAATATTTTGATGTTTAATTTATTAAAATATTTACATTTTATGACATGAATCTACACCAAACATTTATTATTATGAACTAATTTATATATAACTAGCGATGCGCCCCAGCTTCACATTCTCATTTCTCAATCTCAACAACAGTGCCATCTACCGGGTCCAATCGTAAATCTAAGCCATCCAATCAAACCAATCATGGGACCCACTTAAACATACACAAAAAAAATCATCAAAATCTGCCCAACCGTTTAGGACGAGTTCAGTAACATACACACAAACAGAAGAATTATGTAAATAAAGATAAAGAAAAACTTTTTTCATATGGGTACCAACATAAACATATATTAAATTGAATTATGTTGTTCACATGTAAACACAAATGAATAAAATACCTATTGCATAGTAAATATCAAGCTGTCGAACTGTGTCTTCATAATTGGAGATCTTCAAGAACTGTTGTGCATTAATATCGTCAATGCTGCCTTGTCGGATCATCATGTCTGGGTATACCTATAATACAATATTTAGATAATTCAAAAAAACAAACTTAAATTATTGACAAATCTTAATGTAAATCATATAAGGGACCAACGTGATAAGTAATGTTATGAGAGTGTAAGAGAACACCATATCACAGGTGCTGATAGATAGCTGTACGAACAAACTTATTTACACTGCAAAAAATACCCTAGCCACGGCCAGGTGGCATATTTAATTTTTTGTGTTCAAAAGGAAGCATGGGTATATTATGCTAACTCCCTTTCCATCTTGTGCTACAATTGCTAATCTACCTACCAAGCCTGGTAAGTATGCCAAATCTTTTTTACAGAGGTAGAAGCTCATGTCCAGCTGTGAACTTTTACAGGCTGTTGACATTTTTGTAACCTCAACCAAAATTCTTATCCAACTAGTTAATTTTGCTCAGAGCATACTAAGAAAATATACTTATCATGTAATCATCAAAGGTGGATCAATTAGTAAATAATAAAAAAACTTGATTATTAAAACCTAAATATTGAAGTACTACTTATCCACGTAAATAATTACTATTATAATTTACGTGGTAGAGCCATGCTGCAGCTATATTACTGGTATAGTTGTAGCACAAATGGGTCGGCTCGACCGCAGAAGGACCACGCTCTCACAAAATACCAGCGTAAAATAGCAGCTTAATGCTGCTGTGTTACGTATGGTGAGTGTAGAGAACCGGAGACCCTTTTTACTGGAAAAGAGGCATTCCATCTTAGTCCTCACGGGTGACAATGCATCTTCATTTTGATTCGTAATCGAGGATAGATGCAGATGTCTATGGGCCACAGCAACCACTTACCATCAGGTGGACTGTGTGGTCGTTTGTCACCCTTATCCTATAAAAAAAAAGTTAATCACAAACTTTGCCAACATTTTATATGTGGTAGAGTCATGTTACAACTGTATTATTTTTGCAGCATGAATGGGTCGTCACCACTAGGGCAGAACCACACTCTCATAGAATACCAGGGTCAGAATTTGTCTTATTTGTCGTTTCATAATATGTTTAGGAAAGTTTGTGTGCACATAGTTCAGTTGTATAACTTTAGTGTATCATATCTTTTGGTTTATATCAATTCTGTGGATAGTATCCACTTAGTAGTGTAGTATCCACTTATCATCACATGGACTGCTTGCTCATTTGTTACTCTTGATTCCTAAAAGAAAATATTTTCAGGGTTGGCCCAGGGAGGCACCGTCTCATCTTGTTAAAGACAAAACTGAAATGTTTTTTATTTTAAAAATACTAGCAATTTAAAAATAATAAGTTTTTAGATATTTATTGCTATATCATGCTTAATTTTTAAGAGGTACATTATATCTTGTAATAGGCTGTAAAATACATTTTTTGTCGAAATATAATATGACCAAGCTCAAGATCGCTTAGTAAACTATGGAGAGGGCTATGTTCAGGATTTTTCTGCAGGATTAACTTAGAAATTAGGATATCCCCAGTAGAATCAGAGTAACCGACAGAGCCCAACGGATCAGTAAGCTGAAGTTGCAATAGGCCGGCTTTGGGGCATTCTTTTGCAGAGGCCTATGTTAGGCAACGGAGTTCCTACAGTTTTCTTCTCCTACTAAAACTTTGAAGAATTCCATACGAGCATAGCGAGTAAAACTAGCATTATAAAATTTACTTTAAAATATTATTTAAACAAACAAACATACACACCCCATAGATTCCGGTTTCTATAAAGTAGTCTGTGGGCGGGGATGTGAATTTTATCTTTATTTAAATTATTTTAATTAATAATTAAAATGTAAACAATGTTATGATTTTTTACGAGAATGACCGCTACATACGTCAATCAAGGATTCAAGGACAAACAGCGTGACCCATAGATAATACACTATATACCAGGCGTGACCACAGTTAAATTCGACTAATCTACTAAGTAGTGTTGCGAAAATCTACCAAATTCTACGATCTAAAAACCATTGAATAACACCACAAACCATAGACTTAGAATATACTGGAGTACAGTCTGTCAAGAAACTCATGAAAAAAAAAAAGGATGGCGCCACTATCTTTTATACGGCAACCCTATAGATTTCAACCGAAAAGTTTTGGTACTTTTTATTTTATTTTATATACTGATTTAATACTATGGTCCCTTTACTGTCATATTTTTTCAAGTACATGCTTTTATTGCGTACCCCTTGACCCTTGTAAATCCCAGCAACAGTAATTAGCTAAATTCACATACTTAATAATTGAGATAATTCGACTGTGTATCCTACAAGTAATTAGGGAAAGCAGGTTTTATACAAGACCAGCCTTGACAGATTGCAGACATCCAAGGTGAGAAATTAAAACAAGAAAAATGTTGATACATAGTTATTATATTTTGATTATTAATCTAAGTCGAAGTATTCAACTCTTGAAATGTTGCCTGAAGCTGCTGCGAAATTAAATTGGTCCCTTTCTGACTCTGCAGATTCACTGGAACTATCATCACTTACTAAGATGACAAGCTTGTCTATGTCATTATATAGAGATCCTCCACGCTCCAAGGGCAAAATATTCATCGTCGTCCACTATACGCCGAATTGTGCTTTCAGAAACACCTGAAACCAATATAGGCATCTAAATAATAAATACCTTATTCATATCTAAACAAATAATACAAAAGAATCAAAACTATTGACTGTATTCTTAAACAAATTTCATAACCTCAACTATATGTAAACAATATAATAAAACGGATAAATTATACTTAAAAACAAATGATTGATATGAAATTACAGTTTTATTTATTGTGTTTAACATTAAAATACATGTACGTACCAGTTCAGTTATCTTTGCTGTTCGACCGTAAACATCGTCTAAATCGGAAAGAAACTTTCCCGCTTGAAATTCGGCCATCCACTCTAGAAACACTTTAAATATATTATTTGTCATGCTCTTGTAAGCACTGCGTTTCATTTTTGATCTCTAAAGACCGTTTAGGTCATACGATAAGAAAAACTCGAAATATAACAAAAAATCTTAAAGCACATCAACTACAAAGCGACGATATGACAGCTGAGTTACTCAGTTTGACAATAATTTATTGTTGCCAGTGCAAGCAAAAGCAGTAGTTCCAAAAATATTCTTTGCATGACTTTCTTGACAGACTATATTTATAAAAAAATATTATATTTATAAAATAAATCCTCGGTTTGCGTTCTAAAATGTAATTTTATTTTACCCTTTGTTAAACAGATTCCCTTCGAATTATATTGTTAGAAAAAATGGTTAAGGTTAATTGGACGGGATGGTTGTATTCCAAAGAAAAACTCAACAATTTGCAGCAAACATTTTCGTGAGAAGTATAAAAGAAAAAGTAGAATAAAAACAATTTTATTAAAAGGAGTCATTTCTACATTATTTGTACCAGTAAGTATAATAGAGTATATATATTATAGTGAGACCTCAAAAATTTTACTTTCAAAACTTTAGATAAAAATAGAGACAGAGTTTTATTGATTATAAAACTGTAGTACATTAAAAATAACAAAATCTTGAGAATATCCACTTTAAGCCATTATGAACCCAACTAAGTAACTATTTATCAACCAAAATAATGTATAACCTTACCTGACCAACCGCACAGCCTCATGGTCACACTAGCTAGTACAATATTCATATCATCACGCTATTTTCCCCCAAGGAGTTGAGCGGAGCTTCGGATTATATGTCCAAGTCACAATGATAACACTTTTAGCGTAGTTAGGTATAGTATATTTAGTAATGCTCCTGAAGTGCCACTAGAAGCCCGCGCATGAGACGCGATAGTCTAAATTCCTTATAATTAATAGAATCAGACGTTACTTTGCGGAAATCCATTATATTAAAGTTATAAGAGCCTCCAAAAACTAGGTAAGACACATCATTTTATTTCATCGATCGGATGTACGGAAGCTAATTTTTACCAACTTTAATAAATTCCATAGTATTTGATACAATGCTCGATGTCCGATTCATGCTTGATGGCGGACGACATTGTGCCGAGGGCTTTAATAGATGGTTACGCCTACAGCGCTAATCGTAGAGAAGAAGAGCTCGTGGTTAAGTAATAGCTGCGCGGATCAATAGATCTGTGAGATCTATTGACCCGATTATGCGATTGCCGCGGTCAATCCATGAATGGTGACCATTTTTTTAATAATTATATCCTCAGACACTTGGTGCACTTTATTCTGTTAAGATGATTATGTTTTTAAAATTCAGACAGCTAAACTTAAAAGAAGTTTATTATTACTTTATACTTTTCAGGGACAGATGAAAGAATATAAACATGAAGCATAATTAAGCCTCATAAACATATTGGCCTTTAAGCAGAGCAATCTTATTTTACTAAGTCCTACAAGTTTGCTTACTTAAATTAATAAGTTTACATTCATATTTAAGTCAAATGTTAAAATGAACTTGTTTAATGTATTTGATTATTAAATATTAAATATTTGCAATTATCAAAAGTAATACTTATGTAGCAGCCAGGCTAATCAACCGTAAACCGTTATAAATAATGTTACCCCGCTGCTGCTACTATAACGCAAAGGTGAAGGTCTGAAGAAAACATTTATTTCCTGTAGCAGCCAGGCTAATCAACCCTAAACCGTTACAAATAATGTTACCCTGCTGCTACCATAACGCAAAAGGTAAAGGTCTAAAGAAAACATTTATTTCCTAATTACCCCCGGCTACTGAGATTCTGCGGACTGCATATCGATGCGAGATAATTTGACGTATATATATATTTAACGTTCTAATATAGAAACAAGAAACAGCCGCAAATATTATCAGCACCGCATCGTCTTCACACGCCGGCTATCTTCACGCATCCGTCGACAATTTTCGAGCCGTTTCTTCAACGCCGCAGCTTCGCTTCTTTTTGCTCTTCCGGAGATATATCCCACGCCGCCGCCGCTCGCCGATTACGCGCGCGCGCCGGTCTGTATCACTTTTATAGCCCCGTCCTACGAGAAGCTAT